AGCAGACAGGTGAGACCTGGGGCCTCTAAAGGACTCTGTGTGCCCAGTACTTGGGCCTTGGCCCAGGAAGACACAAGGCATGCGTGTGACAGTGGGTGGAGGACATCTCAGGGTGTGGATGCAGTGCTCCATGTGCTTGGGGCTTATCACGTGAGCCCTGCACAAGAACCCCACGTCCCGCAAAGTGCAGGAGCACCTGGCCAGGGAAAGCAGGCATCTGAGGGCCAAGGGACATGACCGCAGTGATAGGCCCAAGGATGCCCCCCAGAGAAAGCTCTGCTCAGTGCAGGCAGGGCAGGCTGGAGAGGGGTCCCTGGGCCAGTCCCCTCAGCACACACCCTGCAGTGGCAGCCTGCTGGAGCATCAGGCGGCCACACTGCCATGGTCAAAGACAGAGACCTCAACCCTACCTGGTGCTGGACAGTGAACTTTGAAGAGCCTGTGCAATGTCCAGACATAGATCACTCAGAGAGGCAGGGAGACGATGAGGGTGGGGAGAACCTGGACAGACCAGGCATTGACCCACGGAGCCCTGCTAGCCTTGGAGCCTCTCAGATCTAATCTAGAAACAGCTGAACAAACTGTAGGCACAAGTTTGTTTGTTGACACTATCTGTGGAAATGGGGGATGGTGCCGACGGCAATTTTATTCAATGATGGACAAAACTTCTGTGCCTCTGAGTTGTAGTGTGTAAATGCCAGAACCTCCACATTTATGTGACAGACGAAAGCCCCAACAGGGGATTTGGTCACATGACAGACTTCGCAGAGTGGACTCCCAGACGCCATGGAGCGGAAGGGTCGGTCTTTGCGTGCTGAGGTGGAGAGATGGCCACGAGCGCTCACTGGGTGAAAAGGCAAGTGACAGAACTAGAGGGACAGAGTAATCCCCTCAAGTGAGAAAGAGGAGAAAGAAGAAAGGAAGGGAGGAAGGGAGGGGCAGGCTAGGAGCAATGAATCTGGGGCCTGCCAGCTGAGCCATCTGCCTGTGTTCAGGGCAGCTGCCGGCCCAGGCTCAGGGCACCCATCTGCATGAAGGAAGAGGAAGACTCAGGCAGTCTCCAGCACCCACAGCACCCCACGGCCCAACCTCATTCCACCCCCGCAGATCAGGGCACGCCTGTCACTGACTTCCTTCCTCCTGAGATCAGCCCACCTGGTGCTATCGGCCCATCCCCAAACATCTAAAAGGCTCTGTGGGAAACAAGGTTTGATTCCCTCTTTGAGCTCTGGGACAGATTCCCGAACCATGCACCAAAGGTTCAAGGTGGTTCCATTTTACCTGAAGCAACGTGTTTCTGAAGATCCTACACAGTTCAATATACACATTTATCAAGACGAATCTTTCACTTAGGCGTGTGTGTGTGCGTGCGTGTGTGTGTGTGTCTGCGTGTGTGTGTGTGTCTGCGTGTGTGTGTGTGTCTGCGTGTGTGTGTGCGTGTGTGTGTGTCGTATCTTTCCACTTTAAGAGCTTCTTTCATCTTCTCCACGACCTTGTCTTCTACCTCACAGATTCTCAGACATTGAGTGTTGTTGGAGTTTCTCAGCTCTGGCAGCAGCGCTGTGACTGAAAGCACGCCCATTTCTCACTGTGACAAGCGCTGAGAAACAGCGTGCTCACGGACAGCACTTGCAGAGTGAGCCGCTGGGACAGGGCCGCCAGGATTCAAGATGCTGAGGATGCAACTGCGACAACAGTTTGCTGACTGCTTGCATGGCGCCACCATGTGGCCATATTGTGCCATGTGTCCACATGCCCAAGACCTGTCATCTTTAAGATCACTCCTCCAAGTAATTTTTTTTTTAATTTGAAGTCATATTATCTTCAAAAATTGTGCACAAAGTGAGGCTTTTTGAGAAGTTTTTGACATGCAATTTTAAATTAACATAATTATAGAAAATAAGAGCACACCAAGAGGAAGGTGCGTCCTGGAGGAAGGCCTGGAGGAGGGCACAGGTCAGGGCTGCGTGCTTGCTGGGAGGCTTTAGAGATCCATGGCTTAGATTATCCATCACTCTTAGAGGAAAAGCTTTTAATGAGATGGGGATGTTGAATTCCAAAGCAGAGAGTGAGCTCTAGGTTGACAATGCTGTGACAGCCGGCTCCCTGGGCAGGTGTGGGGCCTCCCAGGGCTGGGGCAAGTACAGCCGAGACCAGCCTGTCTGAGCCTCTGAGAAGGGACCCTGCTTTCAACTCCCCTCACCCCCTGAGGTTGAGGCAGGACCAGGATCCAGAAAGGCTCAAGGGACCCAGAATAGAGGGCGTCTTCCCAGGTAGCTCCAGGAGCCAGGACTCCACTGGGCAGGCCAGGTCTAGCACCGCAGGCTAAAGTGCAGCAGGGCCCTGGGCCCATCCAGGAGGGTGGACCAGAGTGCGGCCTCTAGAGAAGCACGCGGGCCACCACCCAGAGCTCATGGGTGCCAGGAGGGAGACTCGGCGAGCAGGCCTGAAGGAACCTCCAAGGCACTGAGTGAATTTCTGCTGTTTAAGCCACCCAGTTAGGCGTTTTGTTTTAATAGCCCAAGCCCCCTCCTCTCCCATTACACACATGTTTTCTTATGTATGTATATTAATATAGAGAGAAATTTGGCCAGGCATGGTGGCTCACGCTTATAATCCCAGCCCTTTGGGAGGCCAAGGCAGGTGGATCACATGAGGTAAGGAGTTAGAGACCAGCCTGGCCAACAAAGTAAAACCCCATCTCTACTAAAATTACATAAATTAGCCATGCGTGGTGGCATGTGCCTGTAATCCCAGCTACTCGGGAGGCTGAGGCAGGAAAATCGCTTGATCTTGAGAGGCGGAGGTTGCAGTGAGCTGAGATCACGCCACTGAACTCTAGCCTGAGCAACAGAGCTAGACTCCAACTCAACTCATGAATAAATAAAGGGAGACATATTTCTCCCTATATTTATAGTGTTTATATATATATTATATAAAAATATGACATATATTTGTATTTATAAAGCAATCTATATAATTAATATGTTAATACATTAAATATAGATTTCATATACATTATATATACGTATACACATATATACATACACGTACACATATAAAAAGGGATTTATTTCTTTGCTGTTCTGACACTTCCCTGCTCTTCTTTTCCGTGATGTTTCTGGCCTTTATCTCTGATTCCTGGAGACAGCCTCTAATCCTTAGAAATTCTTGGGTGAGAGACCTGTCTGTTACTCGTGGTGGGCCCCCCCAGGGTCACACCTGAGTTCATGCCAACTAGATGGCTTGGCCAGGGGACCAACCACACCAGAAAGACCAACCATGTGATTTGAAGGTTGCAACTCTGAGCCACATGGTGTCAGTCTGACCTCCAGAACAGAACTGGGGGGCTAGGGATGTACTCAACTGCCTGGCCAATGGTTGAATCAACCAGGCCAATGTAATAAAACGCCTGGCCATGGAGGCCCAGGTGAACTTCCCTGGTTGGTGATACACATCAGTGTGCTGAGAGGATGATGCATCCAGAGGACACAGAAAGGTCATCTTTGGGACCCTCTCAGAGTTTACACTATGTGTCTCTGCTCTTGGCTGGTCTTAACTTTTGTCGGTGTTTTTCTCATATAAAACAATAATGAAAGGCTCATGCTCGGCCAGGAACAGTGACTTATTGCCTGTGATCCCAGCACTTTGGGAGGTCAAGGCCGGACGATCATCTGAAGTCAGGAGTTTGAGACCAGCCCGGCCAACATGGTGAAACCCTGACTCTACGAAAAATACAAAAATTAGCTCGGGATGGTAGTGCATGCCTGCAATTCCAGCTATTTAGGAGGCTGAGGCAGAAGAATCACTTGAACCTAGGAGGTGGAGGTTACAGTGAACAGAGATGGCACCACTGCACTCCAGCTTGGGTGACAGAGCAAGACTCCGTCTCCCCCTTCCCCAAAGAAAGTTCTTGCAACACTTGAAGCCATTAAATACAGGAAACCTGCCATGCAATTCTTTTTTAGCTTTCTTTTTTATTTTTGGAGTTGGGGCCTTGCCCTGTCACCCAGACTGAAGTGCAGTGGTGCAGCCGTAGCTCGCTGTAGCCTCAGAGGCAAGCTTAAACAATCCTCTTACCGTGCCTCCCAAAGTGCTGGAACTCCTGTTGGGATCACAGGCATGAGCCACCATGCTCAGCCACCTTTAGAGTGTTCTTGCCACCTGGTTTTCCTCTCTCAATATCTCTCCCTCATTTCCTGTTTTAAAACTCTAGCTTGGGGGCTGGGTGTGGTAGCTCCTGTTAGAATCCCAGCATTTTGAAAGTCTGAGGTGCGTAGATCACTTGAGGTCAGGAGCTCGAGATCAGCCTGGCCAATATGGTGCAACCCTATCTCCACTAAAAATACAAACATTACTCCAGCATGGTGGCATGCACCTGTAGTCCCAGCTACTCGGAAGGCTGAGGCAGAAGAATAGCTAGAACACAGGAGACTGAGGTTGCAGTGAGCTGAGATCTTGCCACTGCACTCCAGCGACAGAGTGAGATTGTGTCTCAAAACAAAACAAACAAACAAAAAACTTTAGCTTGGGATCAGCCTTCTCTTTTATTTATTTATTTTTTAATAGATGTAGATGCTATGTTGTCCAGGCTGCCCTCAAACTCCTGGGCTCCAGTGATCCTCCCACAATGACCTCCAAAAGTGCTGGGATTATACGTATGAGCACTGCACCTAGCCTTACTTTTTTTACATAAAAAATAATACAGGATTGTCTTCCAGAGCTAATAAATATGTTCAAAGAACCACAACCCCATTAAGAAAAAATGTTACTTCACAGCAAATAAGCAATCTAAGACCAACATGATCACACTCTCTCTGAAGGTGAGAAAACTTTGTCTTTATTACATTTCCCTAAGAGATGTACTGCACTGTTCTCGAGAACACACAGCTCATGTCCTCCTGTAAAACACACATCCTCCTTAAAATAACGTACAAACATGTCAATACAAGGCAAAAAATTACATCTGAACTCTCACATTTCAAAAACATACACTTAACATCAAATAAAAATGTATTTTCAAGAATTTAGGGGAACTGCCATGTAGCTATAAAGGTAATATGTTAAGTAAGTATCGTAGATAAAAACAGTGCTTCCTTTGGCACCACAGGTAATGACACCTACAAAGATTTAAAGATAAAAGATTTAGGATTAAAAGAATCCTCTCCTAAAAAGGAAAACAAAATTACATTTTTGTGTACATAACAGCTATAGCACCCATCATACAACTTTATAGGAACAACATCTAATCAAATTACCAGGATTTCCAAACTATTTAAAATAAAAGTAGTAATCATTCTATGCTCATCTTTTTCACATAAACCAATAAAATGTATAGTATATATTATACAAATTAGTATATATCGAAGACATGTTAAAAATCACAACTGAATTCTCACAATTCAGTAACAAATACTAAATAGCAAATAAAATTTTCTATTACAAGAATTTAAGGGAACTACCACACAGCTATAAATATAATAGATTACCATGTAAGTATCTTGGATAAAAAGAGCGCTCGCTTCAGAAGCACATATAATAATAGATAAAACAATTTAAAGACAATAGATTTAGGATAAAAACTCTTTCTTAAAAATGAATATTATATTTATGTAATATATAACAGCTATAACTCTCATCAAAAAACTCTACAGGGATGGCATGTTTTCAAAAGTACAACAATTTCCAAACTATTTGAAATAAGCATATTAATAATTCAATGGCCAACATTTTCCAAACAAACCAATAAAATGCATAGTACTTGTTAAGCTATCTGTTACAATCCTATGGCACTCATATTTTACAAATAATTCCGTGCCAATCTGAGCACCTGTACTGTGCCTTCAAATGCTCCTGGACTGTGGCAACCAAGTCCATAGGAAACAGAACCTCCAGGTTCCACCCCAGGGAGGCTGGAATTCAGCAATATAAAAAGGGAGGCGGAGCTGCAGGAAAAGGTGGAACCAGAAACACCCCTGGTTTCTCACTGTCCTCCACAGAGGCTTAGAAGTACCCCCACCCACCCCCGCTCCTAGGAGGACAGCGTGATCACTCTATTCATCTCCTTCTAGAACAGTCCAGGTTCTTCTAGTTGATCTGCACAAATGGCTGCTCTCGTCCTTAATGGTGTCTGCCACTAGCATTGGAGTAAACTTGCTGCTGAAAATCCACATCTCCCCTGGCTGGGCCTGGTGCTCTGGAAGTGAGAGAGAGATGATGTTACACTTCAAGGAGGCCATTCTCTAGACAGGAGGTTATTCACATCCCATGTCAGTTTTAACTAGAATTCAGAGCAATTGATCAATCCAATTTTATCTCCTGTCCTTCATTCTCTACCCTGCTTCTGAACCATCGTGTTCAATTGTGATATTGACACCTCGGTGACCCTGACTCCAAAACTCACTGAATACACCCACGGTCAGCCCCAGTGATCTGCTTCAGAGCAAGGACTTTGGGTGGGTCTGCCTGGGGAGTAGAGCACCCTCAGAGAATGTGGCTTTGGACTTTATGACACCTGGGACCTTTTGTGTCCCTTAAGATGACTGTAACCATGCTAGCTATGTTTCTAATGTGACAACATCACAAACCACCAGTCCAGAGCCTAATCCATAATCTTGCTTCCTAATGGTTAAGGCTCATGCTGAGTCCTCAGCGTGATTAGCTGCACAAGATGTAAATCAAATCTTCACTGAATCCTCCACCTGCATCGGTAACTCAAGTGCTTCAATCACAATGAACCTCCGGAACTCAGTATTTATGATGATTTTTGAGACATGGTCTCACACTGTTGACCAGGATAGAGTGCAGTGGCAAAATCAGCGCTCCCTGAAGCTCCAAACTCCCAGGCTCCAGAGATCCTCCCTCCTCAGCCTCCTGAGTAATAATGAATAGAGATGCCTCCCACATTGCCCAGATAATTTTTTTTTTGAGACAAAGTCTCACTTTATCACCAGGCTGGAGTGCAGTGATGCCATCTTGGCTCACTGCAACTTCCGTTTTCCAGTTTCAAGCAATTCTCCTGCCTCAGCCTCCTGAGTAGCTGGGACAACAGGCAAGCACCACCACGCCTGGCTAGTTTTTTTGTACTTTTAGTAGAGACGGGGTTTCTCTCTGCTGTTGGCCAGGATGATCTCGATCTCTTGGCCTCGTGATCCCCCTGCCTCGGCCTCCCAAAGTGCTGGGATTACAGGCATGAGCCACCGCCTGTAATTTTTGTATTTTTGTGGAGAGGGGATCTCGCCATGTAGCCCAGGCTTGAAGCTGGATCAAGCAATTGGGTTCCTCGGATTTCCTAAATAGACCACAATATTCTGCCTTTATCCTGGAGGATGCAGATGTACCTTCCCTCAGGCCGATGACCTCAGGCCTCCACGGTCCCTGGAGCACTAGGAAGGAGGGTGCGATCTCGAGTCCACACCCAGTGCTCTGGGTCATAAGCCTGGATCTGAAAAAACAAATACCCCTTGAGAAGATGGGGACTCCCCAGGATACCCCTCCCTCCCCTCATCCAGCCTCCAACCCACCTGATTCCTTCCCACCTCCTCCACCTCTTTATGCTCCACTCACCTCCTCCAACTCCTCCCGGGAAACCCAAGTTCTCCAGCGCATGGAACAAATGAACTGGAGTCGAAGCTTGTGGAACAAGGGTCGCTGGGAGTGGTTCTTCCCGTACAGGAAGTAGAACATGTCTTGTTTGGGGGCCTGGTTATCCTCCTCCATGTCATTGGCCAGGTAGCTGGGGGCAGAAATCAGGTTGCTGCTCAGGGGCACCACCAGGAGAGACCTCTGAGGTCAGCTTTCCAGAGAGGAGGGCAGGGCACCGTCCTCAGCTCAGGACTGGCACTCACCCTGCAGAGAGCCATTCCTTACTCAGGAGGGTCTTTCTGGACAGATCACCTTCAGGGTGGAGACAAAAACCCAACTGGTAGCCGACAGTGGTGGCTCAAGCCTGGAATCCCAGCACTTTGGGAGGCCGAGACAGGAGGATTGCTTGAGGCCAGGAGTTTGAGACAAGCCTGGACAACATAGCAAGACCCTTGTCTCTATTAAAAATATTAAAAAACTGGCCTGGCATGGGGGCTCATGCCTGGAATCCCAGCACATTGGGAGGCTGAAGCGTGTGGATGGCTTGAGGCCAGGGTTTGAGACCAGCCTGGTTAATATGGTGAAACCCCATCTCTAGTAAAAATCAAAATCAGCCTGGTGCAGTGGCACAAGGCTTAGTTCTAGCTACTCAAGAGGTTGAGGCACAAGAATGGCCTGAACCCAGGAGGCAGAGATTGCAGTGAGCCGAGATCAGGCCACTGCATTCCAGCCTGGGAGACAGAGCAAGACTCTGTCTCAATAAATAAATCAATAGGCCATGTGCAGTGGCTCACGCCTGTAATCCCCACACTTTGGAGAGCCAAGGCAGGCAGATCACAAGGTCAGGCGATTGAGACCATTCTGTTTAACATGGTGAAACTCCATCTCTACTAAAAATACAAAAAATTAGCCGGGTATGGCGGCGTGTGCCTGTAGTCCCAGCTACTCTGGAGGCTGGGCAGGAGAATTGCTTGAACTGGGGAGACAGAGGTTGCAATGAACCGAGATCATGCCATTCCCCTCCAGCCTGGGCAACAGAGCTAGACTTCATTTCAAAAATATTTTTTTAATAAATTCAACAAATGAATAAATAAATAACTGCCCAGGTTTGGTGGCACAGCCCTGTAGTCTGAGCTAATCAGGAGGCTGAGGTGGGAGGATGGCTTGAGCCCAGGATATGGAGGCTGCAGTGAGCTATGATCTCACCACTGCACCCCAGCTTGGGGGACACAGCAAGTCTCTGTCTCAAAAAATAATAATAATAAAAAAATAGGATACATTGACATTTTGCCAAACCCTGCCTTCTACAAGCATCTAGTCTAATGGGACTGAGAGAAATCAGGACAGATCACCTAATCCCAATGCCATATTATAATAGGATGTAACTGGAGCACTGTGGGCGTGCAGAGGTGAGAAGATGAGGGCAGGCACCACAGAGACCGTGGGGTGAACTGACTTCAAGGAATGGGTCATTCTCTTCAAAACCACATGTGTGCAGGACCCAAGACGGAAAACACAAATGCAAAGTTGAGCGGCGGACATTTGGAAGGAGCAGTGAAACTGAGCCAGGAAACACCGAGAGGATGAGCCGGTTTGGCTGCAGAGAGATTGCAGAGAGGCTGGAATTGGCACTGTGGACCTGGCCTCGATTTAGAAAGACATCAGCCAAGGAAGCTGTTCAGGTGGGCAGTGGGGGCGTCGGACCTGTGCTTTCAAGAGATGTTCAGGCTGCACTAGGAAGCCCCCTGGCTTGGGGAGAGGCTCCAGGAGGCCCCAGCAGGGAGCACCTGACAGTGGATTTGAGTGATGTGAGGGGACCTGAACTGTGGCCTCTGTCATGGGAACGCAGAGGAGGACGATGAACAATTGCATTTGGGGTTGATGTGTGAAGGAGAAAAACAGAAGAACCAGAAATGGCTGGTGCTGGGGGAGCCTCATGTCCACTCTTTTCCCTCTTCCCTTAGGAGGGGATTATGCTTCCTTTTGCTTTATTCTTTTATTTGTAAACTGGCTTTTCAGTTTTTTGTTTTTTTGTTTGTTTGTTTGTTTTTGAGAAAAAGTCTCAGTCTGTCACCTAGGCTGTAGTGCAGTGGCTCAATCTTAGCTTACTGAAACCTCCGCCTCCTGGGTTGAAGCCATTCTCTTGCCTCAGCCTCCCTAGTAGCTGGGATTACAGGTGCACACCACCATGCGTGGCTAATTTTTGTATTTTTTAAGTAGAGACAGAGTTTCACCATGTTGGCCAGGCTGGTCTTGATCTCCTGACCTCAGGTGATTTTCCCACCTTGGCCTCCCAAAGTGCTGGGATTACAGGCGTGAGCCACCTCACCCAGCCCGAGTTTGTTTTTAGGTGGAACAGTCTAAGAACACCTTTAGTATAATAGTATAATAACTATAACGCATAGTATAATCCTGTCTTTTTTATACACAGAGTAAAGAGGACAAATAGGTGAAAGAATAAATGAAAGTTTCGAATCCCACTTCCCCTGCTGTCCCAGGGTGTTGGATATTGATGGATAGGAGGAAGCAAACCACTCACAGAGCCAGGAAGAAATGAATGCGTCGGTATTGCCAGGAGAAGAGGCCGGCGCGGCTAAAATACGCTATGACCATTGCCAGGAGGTACTGATGGAGAGAAAGGAACAAAGAGAGGGAGGGGTCACATCTTGGAAGAGGAAGATCATGGAGATGAGGGAATGGGAGACTGGGGAGGGGTTGCCCATCAGAGAAGGGACCTCAGTGTTGGGGTGACTGTGCTTATTTGGAAACTGCGGGGTTGAGGGCTATTGCAAATCCAAGAAGCTAGAGGAAGGGATGTTGGTGGTGCTCCCAGGATGGTGAGCTCTGATGGGATCTTTGAAGGGAGATGTCCAGGTTGCCTGGTGTCAGGAGGGTCTTTGTGTGCCAGGCAGAGAACTGTCCCAAAGAGCTGAGAGTAGAGGGGCCAGGAGCTTCAGGGCTGCAGCTAGACTGTGGCCCAAGGCTCAGATCTCAAAGGACCTGCAGGAGAGGCAAGGGCCACTCATTCACTCTGCAAGAGACCAGCAGAGTCCCCAGGGAGATGCTGACAAATCATAAAAAGACCAAGAATAGCCAGGAGTAATGGCTCAAGCCTGTGACCCCAGTACTTTGAGAGGCCGAGACAGGAGGATCATGTGAGCCCAACAGTTCAAGAACAACCTGGGCAACACAGTGAGATCCTGTTTCTACAAAAATTAGTCGAGCATGGTGGCATGTGCCTGTAGTCCTAGCTACTCAGGAGACTTTGGCAGGAGGATTGCTTGAGCTCAGGAATTAGAGGTTGCAGCAAGTTATGATCATGCCACTGCACCCTATTCTGGGGAGCAGAGCTAGACTGTTCCTCAAAAAAAAAAAAAAAAAAATAAGGCGGGCACTAAGACTCAAGACCATGGGAGCTGGCCTGGCACAGTGGCTTGTCTATAATCCCTGCACTTTGGGAAGCCAAGGATGGCGGATTACCTGAGGTCAGGGATTGAAGACCAGCCTGGCCAACATGGCAAAACCCTGTCTCTATTAAAAACACAAAAATTAGCCAGGCATGGTGGTGCACACCTGTAATCCCAGCTACTTGGGAGGCTGAGGCAGGAGAATTGCTTGAACCTGGGAGGTTGAGGCTGCAGTGAGCCAAGATCATGATACTGCCCTCAGCCTGGGCAACAGAGTGAGACCCTGTCTCAGAAAACAAACAAACAAACAAAAAAAGAACAAAAACCCTAAAGACTGGGAGCATCAGGTGGGAGATGGTGGAGGGAGAGAGGAGTGGGACTGTGCATGTGGAAGCTGCACCCTCCCCCAGGCTGTGTGTTGGAGCAGGAACACAGTTCCCTGGAGAACAACCTTACCTTGTCCGATAACCTCAGATCTTTGTCCCAGGCCAGGAATTTTTTAACAACAGGATCCTCTGTGATTAAAGAGCAGACGCTAGCATGAGAAGTGGAACAGAGTTTCCGTGGGAGCAACAGGGCAGCAAGGAGAACTGTGCCTCCCTGGGGACAGTCTCAGGATTGTGGCCACAGGTAAGGTGGATGGATAGGAGAGAATGACTTTCACTGGTTAAGGGAGAGAGGCTCCCACTCTGAGACTGCCCTGAGAAGAGGTTGAAGGAGGCCCTGGGTGTGTGAATCTATAGGATGTAGAGCTGGGAAGAAGCCTGGATGCCCTCCCCGCAGACATGCAGGGACCACTGCAGAGTCACAAAGTCATTCCCATCATTTTATCGTGAGACAGTCACATCAGGGTGTGACCATGGCCTTGTTACCCCCTCTACAGATGGAGACAGTTAGGGTTAGAAAAGTCAGCACGAGGCCGGGCGTGGTGACTCACATCTATAATCCCAGCACTTTGGGAGGCCGAGGCGGGCGGATCACAAAGTCAGGAGTTCGAGACCAGCCTGGCCAACATGGTGAAACCCCTTCTCTACTAAGGATACAAAAAATTAGCCAAGAGTGGTGTCATGTGCCTGTAATCCCAGCTACTCAGGAGGCTGAGGCAGGATAATTATTGAACTCGGGAGGCAGAGGTTACAGTGAGTCCACATTGTGCCAGGCACCCCAGCCTGGGTGACAGAGCCAGACTCTGTCTCAAAAGAAAAAAAAAGTCAGGAAGAGACATTAAGTTTCAGAAGGCACAGCTGAAACTGCTTTGTTTTCTGATTTTGTTTTTCTTTATTTTATTTCTATTTATTTATTGGAGACAGAGTCTTGTTCTGTCACCGAGGCTGAAAAGCAGTGGCACAATCTCAGTTCACTTGCAACCTCCGCCTCCCAGGTTCAAGCGATTCTCCTGTCTCAGCCTCTGGAGTAGCTGGGATTATAGACGTGTGTCACCACATCTGGCTAATTTTTATATTTTTAGTAGAGACAGGGTTTTGCTATATTGGTCAGGCTGGTCTCAAACTCCTGACTTCAGGTGATCCACCTGCCTCAGCCTCCCAAAGTGCTGGGATTACAAGCATGAGCTACTGTGCCCGGCCTTTGTTTTTCTTCTGAGACAGGGTTTTGCTCTGTCACCCGAGCTGGAGTGCAATGGTCATAACTCACCACAGCCACAAAATCCTGAGTTCAAACGATCCTCTTGCCTCAGCATCATAATGTGCTGAGATCTCAGGCATGAGCCACTGCAACTGGCCTGAAACCCAGCTTTCTTATCCCAGTCACAGACCTTTATCAAGTCCAGCCAAAACCTCGATTGCCTCCTAAACGTCCCTCCTGAGTGATCACTTCTGAGTCCTCCCGAATGCAGAGCTCACCCACTGGGGTTGGGTGGGGGAGACATATTTCTCCCATGGAAAAAGTATAGTTACGGGAAGTTTCTTCTTTTTAAAAGAACGGGATTGGAGGTGCTCTCTGGGGTGTCCTACCGAGCAGCCTGTTGAAGGCCTCGTGGTGTTCAGGGAGCACGGGTGACACTCGCCGCCGCTTCAGCTTCATTTTGAGGCCGTGGAGAGACTCCACCACCCAGGTCTCCTCAGGCTCAGGGTCGTGCGACTTCTCTGGCTCCTCCTCCGGCTCCTCCTCAGATTCGTCTGACCACTCCCTCTTCCTTTTCCAACAAAGGGACCTACGTGGGGGGCTGATATCTACCCAAGGGACTGAGTAAAGCAAGCCATCATGTAACGCTTCTACAATTGATCACCTTAGACCCCAACTCAAAACCCCAAACCGCTCTCCACCCTCCCCGGCCTCGCAGACTGTCTGCTTCTGCACGTCTTTCTCCTTTGCGGAACCCAACGTGCCTCTCCTTCTCCTCCCCATTCTTCCATCGCTCTGTCCTCAGAAGGTGTCCTCATTTCCTCATTTCCTTCCCTGGTCCCTGGCTCTGTGTGTCCCCCACTTCCCCCAGCCTTTTCTTTTTTAACAGTATCTTGCTTTGTCGCCCAGGCTGGAGTGTAGTGGTATGATCTTGCTCACTGCAACCTCCATCTCCCGGGTTCCAGTGATTCTCCTGCCTCAGCCTCCCAAGTAGCTGGGATTATAGGTGCCTGCCATAATGCCCAGCTAATTTTTGTATTTTTGGTAGAGACGGGCGTTTCACCATGTTGGCCAGGCTGGTCTCAAACTCCTGGTCTCAAGTGATCTGCCTGCCTCAGCCTCCCAAAGTGCTGGGATTATAGGTGTGAGCCACCGCTCCTGGCCTGAGTCCCTCCTTTCTTTCCACACATTCTCCTCAAGTGCTCTTTTTTTTTTTTTTTTTGAGACAAGGTCTCACTCTCTCACCCAGACTGGAGTGCAGTGGCACGATCTTGGCTCACTGCAACCTTCACCTCCCAGGCTCAAGTGATTCTCCTGCCTCAGCCTCCCAAGTAGTTGAGATTATAGGCACGTACCACTACTGCCCAGCTAATTTTGTATTTTTCGTAGAGATAGGGTTTCACCAAATTGGGCAGGCTGATCTCAAACTTCTGACCTTGGATGATTTGCCCGCCTCGGCCTCCTAAAGTTCGGGGATTAGAGGCATGAGCCACTGTCACAGCCCCCTTCCTTCTTCTTAGTCAATCCTCTCCCAACTCTTCTTCCTCTAGTCCCCTCACCTGATGGTTCTGGCACTTCATCATCCAAAATCTCTGGGAGGGAGTATCCCGAGGTGCTAGGCTGGGGGCTCTGGTACTCATCCTGGGGATGTGGTTGAGGGCTGGCCATGATCTCTGCCACACTCTGTTCCCTCCCACAGAACCTAGTCCCTGTTCTGTCCAAAGCCTTCTTCCAGACTCTATAGGACCCAGAAGAGTGCGTTCTCTCAAGTCTGGGGAGAAGTCAGGAGTGGAGAACAGCTCTGAGAAGTTGCTGTTATCCACCTGAGCTCCTGAGTAACCATGGAATCCCGTCCTTCCAATCAGGGAGCTTGGAATCTCTGATGTCATTGGTCGTGCCAACCTGGCAACTAGTTTGAAGAAAAACACGTGTAACTGACAGGCTGGTCTCCTGTCCTAGAGATCCGGGGTGAACGGTGTCTCCTGCCACTGTCCCAACCTCAGACCATTGTCCAAAAGCATCTTCAGGGTCTCTGCATCCCTCTCTTCCCTGTCCCAGCAGAGGCTGCGTCCTCTCCACTCAAAGTTTAAAGTGTGTTAGGGTCTCCTTTGTACATGCCCATTTCAGAGTCCAGTCTGGTGGGAGAGGGAGCAGGGTGGCAAAGAAAAGTAGGGTACGCAGAAATGATGAAACCTTACAAGAGTGAGATTAGGATGTACAAGAGATCCGAGGTACATTGACTTGATGAAAAAGTTACCTCAAAGCACTCAATTTGGCAAAGCTTTTCTGCTGAATGTTTACTGACATACACTGTCCGAGATTCTATACTGGGGTACACACGTCCTCTGCCCTAAGGCATCTTCAAGTCCAAGAGACATTTTGAGGACTGCAAATCATAGGAAACTGTCCATGAGCTCACATGTATTTCCAACGGTGTTCCCAGTTTCAGGGAGTCCATGGATCACCTAAAGCCAGCCCCTCCAGTTCAGCTAAGAAACTCTAGTCCATATATCAAGTTTCATATCATATGTATTGCTCTTAACTCAGAAATTTCCCTACCATTCATGTATCTTTGAATAAAATATCAAATGTACAAAAATGTACAAAAAGACTAAGTTGAAAAATCTCAGCTGTGCACAGTGGCTCATGTTTGTAATCCCAGCACTTTGGGTGGCCAAAGGAGGAAGATTGCTTGAGGCCAGGAGTTCAAGACCAGTGTGGGCAACATAGCAAGATCCCATCTCTAACCCAAACCAATCCAAAGTAGCCAGGTGTGGTGGCTTGCACCTGTGTTCCAACTACTTGGGAGACTGAGGCAGAAGGATCGCTTGAGCCCAGGAGTTAGAGGCTGCAGTGAGCTATGATTGTGCCACTGCACTCCAGCTTGTGCAACACAGTGAGACTTTGTGTCAAAAAAAAAATTTTTTTTAATGAAAAATAAAACAGTTGCATGACATTCAGAGGCCATCCAAAGAGCCTGTGAGTTCCAGCTGGGCACAGTGGCTCATGCCTGTAATCCCAGCACTTTGGGAGGCCAAAGCAGGTGGATCACCTGAGGTCAGGAGTTCGAGACCAGCCCGGTCAACATGGTGAAACCCCATCTCTACTAAAAATATAAAAAATTAGCCAGGCATGGTGCTGGGTGCCTGTAATCCCAGCTACTCAGGAGGCTGAGGCAGGAAAATCACTTGAACTTGGGAGGCTAAGGTTGCCGTGAGCCAAGGTCACACCATTGCACTACAGCCTGGGCAACAAGAGCGAAACTGTGTCTCAAAACAAAAACAAAAACAAAGAACTTGTGTTGAGCTCCCACACAACTTCCTAACAGGCTCTGACTCTTCAAGGAGTCTCTCGCTCATGGGAACTACACAAACTGAATGAGGAAGCAGATCCCATTGCTGTGGAAGTCCTATTTTAGGAAGCTCTGCTTTTCTGGAGTTAAAATTTGCATTCATGTTGCTTTCAACTGTCAGAGCTGGTTGGGTCCTTCTACAACAAAACAGTTTACTCTCTCTCTCTCCTAGTTAGCAGGCTTTCAAATATTAGATCAGTGTTCTGACCCCGTTAAAATTTCTCTTTTGTGGAATGAAAAGCTCTGATTTAACCCGCCTTTAAGCCTGGTTTGCGTATTCCTCTCTCTTCTAGCCACCTTGTTTAGACACACTACACTGGGCAGTGCCCCCCCTTTTTTTTTTTTTTGAGACAGTCTTGTTCTGTTGCTGAGGCTGGAGCACAGTGGCATGATCCTGGCTCACTGCAACCTCCACCTCTCGGGTTCAAGTAATTCTCCTGTCTCAGCCTCTTGAGTAGCTGGGATTATGGGCACATGCCATCACACCCAGCTAAATTTTATATTTTTAGTAGAGATGGGATTTCAGTATGTGGGTCAGGCTGGTCTCGAACTCCTTGTTCTTGTGATCTTGTGATCCACCCGCTTCAGCCTCCCAAAGTGTTGGGATTACAGGCGTGAGCCACTGTACCCAGCTGGCCATGCCTGTCTTAAATGATGTTGATACATTGTTTAAAAATGGGTTAAATAGGGTGGGCACGGTAGCTCATGCCTGTAATCCCAATACTTTGGGAAGCTGAGGCAGATGCATCACCAGAGGTCATGCGTTCAAGGCCAGCCTGGCCAACATGGTGAAACCCATCTCTACTAAAAAAAAAAAAAAAAAAAAAAAATTAGCTGGGCATGGGGTTATGGGGTTGACATGTATAATCCTAGCTACTTGGGAGGCTGAGGCAGAAAAATTGCTTGGATCTGGCAGGCGGAGGTTGTGGTGAGCCAAGATCACGTGACTGCACTACAGCCTGGGTGACAGAGCGAGACTCCGTCTCAAAAAAGAAAAAAACAAAAAAAATGCTAAACAGCCCAGGTTTGGTCTGATATGTTCAGAAAAAAGCAAAACACTCACCTCTCGCCTTTTGTTTTCCCGCAATGATGCAGTTTAATGCAACAATGGCTATAGGTACGCTGCAGAAATATCACTCAGGTGAAACAGAAGGGCTTTCCTGGCCGGACGCAGTGGCTCATGCCTGTAATCTTGACACTTTGGTTGGCCGAGGTGGGAGGATTTCTTGAGGTCAGAAGTTCGAGGCTCTAGCGAGCTGTGATCCCACCACCACATTCCAGATGGGGCATCAGAGTGAGGCCTGTCTCTAAAAAAACCCTTCACCCCCGGAAAAAAGGGATTTGCAAATACCAGCCTTTCAGCGTAAGGATCACATGGAGAAACACTAAGATACAGATGCTGAGATCCAGCCCCACTGATTCTAATTCAAAAAACTGCGGTGGGGCCTGGTTTAACTTCATCGTTGGAATCCATTAAGATTTAGAACTCTGTGGGATGGAGAGTGCAAGAGAGATCCTACAGAAAGCAAAATCACCCTGGACTGAAATGAGCAGAGGTTTTTTGAGAGTGGTGAAATATGATCTGGGCCTCATGGGGGAGGGCTGTGGCCAGGCCTTGAGTCCTTGGCTCAGTGGGACTTCTGAAACAGCCTCCAAGCCACGCCCCCGCTTCCTTTGCTGGTGGATGATCCTCCCTCCAGCGGCCTTGGTGCTGATGGAAATAAGTCAACCTGCTGGGGAAGCTCGGCCCAGCAGCCTCCCACACCTGGCCGGCAGCTGCAGTTCTCTGCAGAGTCATGGCTTCTGTACCTTGAAGAAAACTTCCCCTTCTGGGACCCAGACAGCCAGTGAACCCTTAGGAAAAAAGGAATGAAGTTACAGAAGAAAACTCTGTGATGGAGAGATGGAGAACAGGCTCTTTGTTTTTGTTATTTATTTATTTATTTATTCATTTTTTGAGATGGAGTTTCACTCTTGTTGCCCAGGATGGAGTACAGTGGCGTGATATCGGCTCACTGCAACCTCCACCTCCAGGGTTCAAGCGATTCTCCTGACTCAGCCTCCCGAGTAGCTGGGATTACAAGCATGTGCCACATGCCCAGCTAATTTTTGTATTTTTAGTAGAGACAGGGTTTCAGCATGTTGGCCAGGATAAAATGTTTGTATTTTTATAGTAGAGGTGAAGTTTTGTTATGTTGTCCATCCTGGTCTTGAAGACCTGACTTCTAATGATCCACCTGTCTTTGCCTCACAAAGTGCTGGGTTTACTTACAGCCTTGAGCCACCTCACCCGGCCTTTTTTTTTTTTTTTTTAAGAGATGGGGTTTCACCATGTTGGCCAGACTGATCCTGAACTCCTGACTTCAGGTGGTCCACCCACCTCGGCCTCCCAAAGTGCTGGGATTACAGGTGTGAGCCACCACACCCGGCCTGTTTTTGTTTTTTAGAGACAAGGTCTCTGTTGCCCTGGCTGGGATGCATTGTACAATCAGCTCTCTGTCACCTCCTGGGTTCAAGCAATCCTCTCCTCTCAGCCTCCCAAGTAGCTGAGACTACAGGTGCATGCCTGTAGTAGATAGAGGGTCTTGCTGTGTTGCCCAGGCTGGTCTCAAACTCCTGGTCTCAAGCCAGGATGGTCTCAATCTCTTGACCTCATGATCTTCCTGCCTCAGCCTCCCAGAGTTCTGGGATTACAGGCATGAGCCACTGAGCCTGGCCAGATAAGATGATCTTTATGGGCCCTTCCCATGGTAACTTGTTCAAGGCAGTGAGATAGTGGCTGTAGCAAGCTTCACATAACCGGGTCTGCTAGTATTATGGGCTGCATGGTGTGCCCCAACCCCAAGTTCATGTATTGAAGCCCTGAGCCCCAGGACCTCACAGGTAACCTTATTGGAGCCAGAGTTTTTACAGAGCTGATCAAGTTAAAATGAGGTCACTAGGGGCCGAGTATGGTGGCTCACACCTGTAATCCCAGCACTTTGGGAGGCCAAGGCAGACAAATCACTGAGGCCAGGAGTTCGAGACCAGACTAGGCAATGTGGTGAAAACGCATCTCTACTAAAACTACAAAAATAATAGGGCATGGCAGTGCATGACTGTAATCCCAGTTACTCGGGAGGCTGAATCAGGAGAATCGCTTGAACCCTGGAGGTGGAGGTTGCAGTGAGCCAAGATTGCATCACTGCACTCCAGCCTGGGCAACAGAGAGAGACTCCATCTCAAAAAAAAAAAAAAAAAAAGGTACAGAGCACTAGAAAACAGTTTAGTGGCAGAGCACAGTGGTTCATGCCTGTAATCCCAGCACTTTGGGAGGCTGAGGCAGGCAGATCACGAGGTCAGGAGATTTAGACCATCCTGGCCAATATGGTGAAACTGTCTACTAAAAATACAAAAATTAGCTGGGTGTGATGGTGTGTGCCTTGTAGTCCCAGCTATTTGGGATAATGAGGCAGGAGAATCACTTGGACCTGGGAAGTGGAGGTTGCAGAGAGCAGAGATTGTACCACTGTACTCCAGGCTGGTGACAGAGCAAGACTCCATCTCAAACAACAAGAAGAAGAAAAAAAAATGAAAGAAAAGAAAACAGTTTGCTGATTCCTCAAAAAGTTAAACCCAGAATTGCTATATGATTCAGCAATTCCAGTTCTGGGCATACACACCAAAGGAGATAAAAACAGGTCCTCAAATACTTGTATACACATACTCAAAGCACATTATTCATAGCGACCAAAAGGTAGAGAAAACCATCCATCAACAAGTGAATGGATAAAGCAAATGTGGGACATATGTGTAATGGAAGATTACTGCGTTTTAAGAAGGAATGTTGTGCTGATATATACATTTATAAATGTATTGCCTCTTAGCTCCAAACTCACCCTTTTTGCTTGCTCTGTGATAGTGGAGTTGTTCCTCATAAACCTTTCTCCCATGCCAGCCACAGCAATGACTTGCTAGAGGAGGTGCTAAATGAAAACAGGGGGGCTTAATTTCATTCTTCATTCCCCTGTAGTTAGATAAGGAAACTGACGCTCAGAAAGGTGTCCTAGTCGCACAGCAAGAATTGTCAGCTGGAGTGGAAGCCTGGGTCTCCTGATGGGGCCACACCTCCACCTGCTCTGTAAAATCCTTTCCCAGTGGTCTCTGTATGCCCTCCCAGCAGAAGCCTGTGGCAAGGACACATCAGGGAATGTTGATTCCAGGGTCCAATATTCTCCCTCTTTCTCTTTCTTCAGGTATGTTCCAGTTCTCTCTCTCTCTCTATCTATCTATCTTTTGCTTTTCCTTTCTTTCCTTCCTTCCTTCCTGCCCTCTCTTTCTCTCTTTCTTTCTTTCCTTCTTCGGTTCACTCTGTAGCCCAGGCTTGAGTGCAATGGCACAATCTCAGCTCACTGTAACCTCCACCTCCTGGGTTCTAGTGATTGTTTTGCCTAAGTCTCCCAAGTAGCTGGGATTACAGGTTCCCGCCACCAGGCCCAGCTAATTTTTTGTATTTAGTGAAAACAAGGGTTTCACCATGTTGGTCAGGCTGGTCTCAAACTCCTGACCTCGGGTGATCTAGCTGCCTTGGCCTCCCAAAGTGCTGGGATTACAGGCATAAGCCATCTCACCCAGCCCAGGGATCAGTTTTCTTTCCCTTGCCTCACCTTGATCT